AACAATGAATGAATGGAATTCCAAAATCTCTCTAGATGTTCATTGAAATGAAAAATAAATTAAAAAAAAAATATAGCCACGTGTTTCAGACTTTGTTTAGATTTTAGAAAGGTATAATACAGTACTTAAACTATATATAAGTATCCCACATACTAATACTGTACATTAACACATGAATACTAAATAGGATAAAAACAGTTATCTCAGACTTCAGGTCAGGTTTAGCCAGTAGACAGTAACCCAAAAAAAATGAAGAGAGAGAAATAATACATCCACTTTGTATACAGATTTTGTAAATATATTAGACATACACTCACATACACTGGGGTACATTCTCAAATGATCTTCTTTATAATCACCTGCCATTCAGGTACTGGCTGGAGCAATACAACAGCTTCTTGCTTTTATAAAATAGCAGTTGTCTCAGCTATTAATTGGCAGGGCTTCTGAAAAAGTTCACCCATTCTCCAACTTGAGCCTTCCTGAAGAGCTCCTTGGCAAACATGCTCAGAGCATACCGGGCTGAGGTGAGCACCGCCAAATCAAGGCAGCACCACCTTGGATCCTCCTCCAGGGTGCGTTCCTCACATCCCTCTCCAAAACCCATCCTCCATGGCAAGGCAGAAATAACTGCTTTTAATCACGATACGCGTCTCTTAGACTCTGGACTAATACTTACTTGCCCTGTAAGAAGTAGCTCATGAAGGCCACGTTGTTCTTGCCGTCTTTTTCCGCACCCTCTGCTAGTTTGTTCACCATACTCGCATTTCCGGAGGCAGTGGCCAAAAGCAGCAGACCCCCATAATCCTGTGCGTGATGCAGGCACTCCTGGGCCAGGCCAAACTGACATTTGCTAATGGCAAGCTCAGCAAGTTGTTTCCACTTCTGTTCTGACTGGAAGACAGTTTCCAAGTTTAGTAACTTTGGAAATAAATGGTCATTGCCAATATGATCTCTCGTGGCTCGGTCACAGCGAGTAGTGCTGTCAACCCAAAGGCATCTAGTTCAAATCCACCAGCTGTTCTGCAGGAGGAAAATGGGCAGTCTCTTCCCATGTGATTTCAGCCTCTGAAAACCTGCTGGAAGGTCACCCAAATCAGTTCTGATTCGCTACGTAACAAAAATGAACAGAATTCTGTTTACCTGAATGTTTACAATGCTGTTTTTTGTTGCGTACTATTGAGTTAGAACCAACCCACAGCTAGAAAATGCATGGTGGGTTTTCAGAGACAATCACACAGGAGGAGATTGCTCATCCTCCCACAGAGCAGCTGGTGGATTTGAACTGCGTACCTTCAAGACTGTAGCGCAGCTTCTTGCCACTATACCACCACTGCTCTGTAGTGACAGATAAATACTGAACTCTCCTTGTCAAGTTGACTAGCAATCAAAATAAGAGCATGACAAAATGTGGAATGAGAAACATTATACACATAAAATGAAAACATTTTAATGATGCATGAACAATCACCATCAACCCTCTGTACTTTTACTTTGTAATTACACAGTAAAATAAAAAGTAAAACCATCTAATGGGAGTTTTGAGGTAATTAGAGGGTAATTATTTTAATAAGTAATTCTATTTTTTAAAAAGCAGGAAATTGTTTTTTACGTCCTTGAATTTTTAACAGTAATATACATATTATCTGTCCATTGTAGCTTCTTAGAAATTATCTATAATGCCATACACTGGATTCTATCATAGCTAAACTGAATTCTGTCCATCTGAAAGGGGTTCACTAATTCTACTACTCCTTTAAACCACAAATGGGAATCTGCACTACATAAAGATCTCAGAATAGCATTAAACTTTCAGAATGTCTTTGTTAAAACACATATTTCTGGTAAGTACAGGATACTGGCAAATTACTGGTACATCTGCACCCTATATTTTTTTTCTTCTTTGCATTCTAATTTTAGAGTGTCCAGACTATTTTCTTTACTAATCTTGCATTTTTCCTTTTATTCCAAGACCAATCTCATATAAGACATCACAGTGCTTCTCCTTAAAGTGCTAAAGATATCACCGAAACAATTACTTAATAGATGCAAAGATTATAATTCATGTTTATAAAAGACCAGAGACAATAGCCTCACTAAAATGGGTCACTGCTTTGCATTTCAGAAAACTTTCAAAACAGCCTTATACCAAATACACAGCAGTATCTACTGGCGTTTCCACCAATTATAAACAATCATCAATGAGTACATACCTCTGCTTCCACCGCCAACTGATAGGCAATTTTTAACTCTCCCAGCTGAAGAGCAAGCTCAAAGCGATGCTCAGGGTCTGTGGACACTGTAAGAGCTTGCTGCTTGAAGCCCTAAACAGATTTTAAAAAATATACAGGTGAATGAAAAAAATTGGTGTGGGGCACTATGTACTATACGGACCAAATCATTTACTCTGTCGACAAGAAACTCTACTCCTTACCAAAAACCAAACAAACAAAAAAACCCCAAGTAAAGAGAAAAAATAAGAGTCCTTAAATTAACTGATAGGAGAATTAACAGACTAATATCCAGTGGATAACACGCCTGTTTTCTAGGGTAGCTGAAGCTGATTAGATGAATCAACCAACCAAAATCAGAAACGCAAATGAACTGTAACACAGTGTAAAATGCAGCGTCACATGGCCTTGCAAAGCACACGTGGATGGTCTCCTACCGCCAACCTTTTGGTTAGTGATGCAGATGTTAACGGCCATGCAGGGACCGCCACATGCAAACTACGAGCCACTGAAAACGCAGTGGAGCACAGGCCCACTCTCAGACTCCATCCATGGGGCTGCTACCGTCGGAGTCAACTCCATGACAACTGATTCTCAGTCATCACTAGACGAGCTGCTTCCCCAGGACAAAGAGCACTGATGGGCTCTGCCCGCGCGGTGAGTCCCTGCGCCCCTGGGATGCGAGAGGCTGGACAAACCTCAAGGATCGTTTCCAGCTTCATCAAACAGGAAGAACACTCAGCTACAGAACGGTCAAGATAAAGAACCGCGACAGTTTTCTGAGGAGTTCGGCCTGACTTCGGATATGGCTCTATTGTTATATCTGAAAAGCTTTAACTCCCCAGAGACAGCAAGCTCCCTGTCTCACATTCACCCATAAATGCATGCAAGTGAGGCATTCTGAATAAGCTGAGCGAGCTTTTTTACTAACACTCAAGAATGGCGGACAGAGGATCAATGAAATGACGCAAACAGAGGCAAAACAGATGAGGACAGAACTAAATACATGCATTTTTATGGTCTTTAAATTCCCTGCTAATAAAACTAAAAAGATACATATTTTTTTTTTAAAGATCATAAAAAAGGCCTAAACTCCCAGGGACACTTAGAAAGGGGCAGGAGATAAGAGCCACACAATTCTGGGAGTTGGAAGCTGGTAGACAAGTATAAATGTGCTCACACAGGACACTGGTGGAAATCTAACCCAAGAGTAAGGAAAGAGCGCAGACTCCCTGAAAAATAAGAGCTGAGGAAGATGGAGATGGAGACCAAATGCTGAACGTGAGGGTCCAGGTTCGACCTCTAACACAAGGGTGACGGTGACAGAGGAGCTTCTTCAGAAGATCAGCCCAAGAGGAAAGACTTGGAGACACAAGCTCTAACGTATCAATCCGTGCCCAGCTGGCACAATCCCTGGTTCTGAACTTACCAGGTGAATAAATTTGTTAAATGAACTCATTAAATGTTCAGGTAGAGACGTACAAGCCATACGGAACTTCTTTTATCCTTACTCAGAAAGAAATGCATATATAACTGATTAAAAAATACTATCAAGGCAAAAGGGATCGAGAAAAGTGTGGTGTAGAATGACAAGAGGAAGAGCACAGAAAAGAACTCTTCAGACAAGGAAGAGTGCTGCTCGGGCGACAGGAGAAGGAAGAACGCAGGACAGAGAACCACCTGCTTCCCCTACCGGGAGGAATTCCACTGCTATCAAGAAATTAGGGCCAACTGACAGTTTCCTGAATCCAGACTCATAACCTTTACAAATTAACTAGTATTAAACAAAACGAAGAGAACTCCTCTTACTTGTTTTTCCAGAAAGTGTGCCACTCTGGTTCTCTGTTCTTTTGGGATGGTAGGCAGGACTTTGTCAGCCATGCTGAAGTCCCTCCGCATGACAGCCGTCTGGTACTCTAACACCGAAACCAGCAGGGAGTAGCTAACAATGTTCAGTTCTTTATCTCCCAGATAAAGCCTGTTGTCTTTAGGAATGTAGCCCAGGAGATACATTGTCCTATAATAAAAATAGAAATTAATTCAGAAATAAGGCCAAACCTATAGTTAAGCAGACAGATACTCCACACTGTTATTATGGATATGTGTCTGCATACCTCTTGCTAAAAGTCTTCCTACATTATTTTTTCAACAGCTAAAACTACAACATTGAATAAACAGACCTATCATTGCTATGAGCCAGTAAAGAAGTGTACTTTTAATTTAAAGAGTACTTTTAAAGAAATGAGGCTTAACAGAAAAGCAAAAAAAAGAACTTCAGCTACCTGTCCAGGTGAGCAATAGTGACTATTTCTCCTCCAACATAGTAATTCAGTCTGTTAACAGAACTTGTGTAAATAAAGCAGTCTCCCACCCACAGGCCTGTTTTCACAATTTCCTGAATCTCGCCAAGAACCTGCAGGAAGAAAGGGAAAAAATATCACATAAAGGATCCACCTTAGAAAACCTATCATGAATAGAAGTGGAAGCTGTATGGCAGAAAGGGAATACAAAGTCAAATTCTACTTCAAAAACATACTGTCCTTCCTTCCTTGGAACTTATGCCAAGAGCTTCTTGGACAAATATTTACCATGAAAAATCTCCCTGCTGGGCCAAACCTGTGCACTGAGGTGTGGATCTAAAACCACACACATGAAGCTGGAGTGTTAAGAATGGTCCAGAATGTCTCCACAACAGAGGATTTGTCTTTGTCATCTATCTGGATGGAAGTCAAATGACTTTGGCTAAACACTCTTAAGACTAAAATATCTTTTAATTTCCATAATGAAACACATTACTATTTGACAGTCAAAGATTTCCTTAAAGCCAAGCACAGATTTCTTACAAACATATATGCTTTTCATTTTCCCTTTTCATTAGAATTCCTTTTTATATGCTTCACTTCCTCAGACCTAATTTATAATGAGGTCCCCAAATCAGTAGAGATCTTTTAAAAACAGAGCTGAAACTGTGCGGATGCACCTACTTCAAAGGCATCTTCAATGCCGTCTTCAGTCACTCCTTCATGTGTTTCTTGTGCAGCCAAGACTTTTTCTGGCAGATACTTAAGGATGAAAAATGATTCTTCAGTGGCAATGCAGACCAGCTCTCCAGAGTCAGACCAGAAAATCTGCAAAACACAACATGGGCAAGTGATTTTGAATGAGTGCAAAGAGAAAAATGAAATACTCTTTCCTTGAAAGATCTACCTTCTAACAGTAAAAAAACTATTCTGTGTGCACTTAACACTTTCAAGTACATATGTAAATATATGTGGAGCTCTAGTGCAAAGAAACTGTGCTGCAATCCCACAGACACATGGTTGGAACCCACCAGCTGCTCCATGGGTGGATAAGCAATCTCCTCCTTTGCAATTTAGTGCCTCTAAAGCCCTGCTGGAGGGTCAGTTATGGGTCAGTTCCACCATCTCAAGAACATCCAACAGGAAGGAAGTGACCGCTGCATTTAGCCTAGCACTGCAAAGACCCAAGGAAGACAGGCGGCAGGCTGCCAGGAGACCCTGGGTGTGTATCATTTAAGGGAGCAGCAGTCGCTCTACAATCCTATTTCTCCCCTAATTCTATTCCATCATCACCTCCTTAGGGAGCCTTAATCGATCCCTCCCTCCTCCCACTGCCACCTCCTGTGATATTTAAATATCCTTCAGAATAATATACACAATATAAATAAAAATTATGCATACAAACATCTAACATGTACGTACGTACGTACGTGTGTGTGTGTGTGTGCATTAGGATTTGTTTTGTCCTCTTTCTCCTCAAGCACTAAGTTCTGCCTCTTAGGGTGACGTCACCCCAGCTGAAAATGCATGCTCAGAAGAACAGAACCAGAGCCGTGAAAGTCATAGCTCTAGGGAAGCTGGTTTGTACACAAAGGCTTCCTGAGGATGAAGTGGTCAAAGGAAGAAGCAGGCAGCTCTGAACAGTAGGAAACTTCCTGCCCCTGGGAACATTCACCTCGTCTAAATAACCATCGTCGGGAAGAGGACAGGCTTTGTGAACTGTGTGTGTACTTCTCGGGCCTTGTCAAGTCCAAAGGGCCTTAATTTCTTGCCTTCAAAGCATGCTTTTTTCCCTCTGTGCCAAAGACCATGTACGATATGAATAGCACCTGGCATGTCTATAATTTTTTTATACTTTTCAAAACACTCCAAGTTCAATGCCTGGCTCCAATACCACAATCCTGTTTTTCTAAGCACCCCTGAGGTAAATGACAGTGCTTCCCACACAATGGAACAGGGACAACTGGGTACAAGGACATTTCTTGACCTCAGGGACCAAGCACACAGCACAAAAGACGCTACACAAAGAAAACGCACGTGTTTGGGCTGAATTTCAATCCTGCGTATGAGTTCTGTGTTGTCCCAGTCATAGAAGGCTAACCCATTTACAGATCTGACTCCCAGTAAAAAGCCTCCGTAAATACCTAAAAGAACAAAAAGGGTTGTTCAGGTGTTTTTCCCAAAGGTTAAAAAAAAAAAAGTTATCAAATGTAAACAGTACTCACTTTCAGCTCCAAAATCCGGTTTAAACGATTTCTTTTCCTTAAAGTTCTTAAATATCTTGACCACACTGTTGCTCTCTCTTATTGCGTATCTGGGATGGGTGGGGTGGGAGACAAAAAGGGGCAATGACTTTCTAATAGAACAATTCACAGATGGCTTTATTTTCCATGAAACCGTTTTATGAACATTATCATTTGGACAGAAATTTATTTTGTTGAGAAAGGAAGAGTGGGGACAAATCCACAGAAAATGAGTTTCAAGAAAGATTCAATAACTGAAGATGACATCTGACTCCAGCATCTTTCCCAACTAACTCCAGGTCCAGAGGGAAAAAGTCACAGGGAGGAGGTGCCAAGGATGTCACCTGAGGACCAACTTTAACCTTATGCCCACGGGACAGGCTCCATCAAGGAAAGGGATGATGGGTCTCCAACTCAATGAAATGATTTACATCAGCTCAAGGTAACCAATTTATTACTGGATACAGAAAGAGCAAAGAACACTCCCACCCAGGTGTCCCCAACTCAGCAGGCTCTAGTGAGAACGGCTCTTTCATACGGAGCCGCCTAGATCATGCCGACCACACACCCCTTAAACGTGTCTGCACGCAGAAGGCCCATCTGCCCTCGGGGCAAGCAGAGGAGTGAGTACTTACTCTGAAGAATCATGCGCCCAGGCAAATTCCTGGGCCGACCCAAAGCTCTTGTTCCTCAGCGCCATGGCGGTGTAGATGATGTACTCCCCGTCACCACACACCACGACAAACCTGGAAGTTAAAGAAGCTGGCCGTAACTTACACCATTTAGCTCAGTATCGGTGAAGTTACATGTTTCTTTGACTACAGAGTGAGACAATTTTGATCCCAAAGCCGGTTAGGAAGATGAGGTTATTGCTACTGCACTGGCCTTCTCTAACAAAGAATGTTGAGGAGGAAGACGCGACTGGCTGCTGACGTGCAGGGGACGATGAGTTAAGCCCCCATCTGCCAACCAGTGTGTTAATTGCATTTACGGTATAACAAGGCACGGACTTGTTACAAGAGTGTCTTCATTTTTTTTTTTAAACTTTATTATTTTGTGTGTGTCTGTACCGTCAAATCAGATCTGACAGGTACAGGAGGAGATTGCCCCCTTTTCCGGCAGAGCATCTGGTGGATTTGAACCACATATCTCTGGGATTGTAGTGCAGCTTCTTGCCACTAGGCCACCAGAGCTCCCCGAGTGTCTTCATTTTAAAACTCAGGTTTCTACGATCACCTACCGTCCATTGGGGTTGTGCTGAATCGTCTGAGGGTATATTTCACAGCTGCCCATGTCCTTGACTGCCAGGGGCAACCTTTCTCCATCCTTGATTTCGGCATCCCCCATGGCTTTCAGGTTGGCCTGCTGGACTTCCGAATGTTTGGCCCAGATGATCTTTCCGTTGGCATCCATGGACATGGCAGGCTCCTCTCGGCCCAGCTGCGACAATGAGATGGCTCTTAGCAATGACAGAGAAAACCAGAAAAAGCAACAAACCACAAGCCATCTCTTCCTTCATATAACAGGGAGCACTAGTTCCTTTCGCATGCTTTTAAATCTCCAGTGCTTAAACCAGTCAAAGAAAATTGGTAACTTAGGAAATGATGGTACAAAAATGCCAGGGAAACAGCGTCTCCTCTGCTCATCTACTGAGGAGGCTGAGAAGACGCTGGACGTTACCTTCACAATGATGCTCCCTTCGTCATAGCCCAAGGCCACGTTGTTGGACCCTCGCAGACTGGCCACGCACCATACCCTTTCCATGCCATAGTTCAGCGTGCTCTCCAGACGGTAGGTGCTTGAATGCCAAATACGCACGGTTCCTAAAAGGAACAAGGCAGTCATTCCCTCTGCTTGGGAGCATCCAACAAGGAATTCAGAGGGAAACAGCTACAAAGAAATCTTCCTAGGCAAAGAGGAAGTAACTTCTGGGAGTTGGGTTATCAGCCTGTAAAGTCATTTTATAAAGCCACACACTAAAAGGAAGAAATTCTAAGGAACAAAACCTAACAAAAAGGTGATCTTGAGTGTACCTAACAACATTTCCTAGACAAAAGGGCTACTTGTACCAAGTGCTCTATGCGAGTGATCTCTTCTCACCCGTGCTCTAACCCTCTAATGTTTTTATTCTACTTCCTAATAAGCCCCAACCACATAGCCAGGGGGCCATCAAGGGCTGACGTTTACTCCAAGGTACATTCTTTCTTAGTTTTTCTCTGGAATTTCTGGGTGCTATGTTAGTGACAGACTCAGTAGTGATAGTGATTCATGACAGTGGGATGATGCTGTTGATAACACCTTCCTGATTTATAGTTAAATCTACCCCTCTAATGAAAAGAACAAAATGCTTGCATGCCTCCACTCACATGGCAGAGTCCTAACCAGGCTTCAGAATCTGTGTCACGTTTACAAGCACAGGGGGCGGGGGTGTGCGAACACCACACTTTCTGACTTACCATCTTCTGAACCTGTGATGATGATGGGCAATTCAGGATGAAAGCTGGCACAAGACACATTCTGGGCATGCCCCTCGAGCGTCTGCACACACGTCTTGTTCTGCACTCAACATTCAGAAAACAATGTATTAGCAACACAGTAACCCAAAAATGTGATCATCCCAATACACGAGCATGTGACAAATTACAACAGTAATGACAATCTAAATAGTGTTCAGTACAGAAGTGTGTGAAGGGGAATCTCTTGTTTATATACACGAGTACTGTTTCCAGTTATTCCAGGGAACATGTAAGTAAATGCAAATAGAACTCTCTTTTAAGGGAAAAAAAACAAGAATATTTTGGCTTTCCTTTAAATATTACTCCCCAAACTCCTGCCTCTTCCTACACGTACCATCTGTGGATGGAGCTGAACAGTGTGCTAGACTGTGATATTTTTATTCTGGATTTAATTAAGATTTTAGGGACCTGAAAACTGAAGCTGATTTTCTAACCTTCATTTAATGGACTGCTTATAGAAACTTTGCATATTAGAGGCAAAAAACAGAAATGTAAGAAAATTTGAGATAAAAAAGTACTGTTAACAAGCGTGTAACTGGGCTCCTAAAAGCTCTTGGTGGCAAAATTATTTGTATCATGACTCTATCATGACATTTAATCAATGACCTGCTAGTTTTCAAATATAATTATGACAAGAAAACTTGTAATACTATTAAATGAAACTAAACACATTGACATTTTAGATTTAAAATCTTGATAGAGGTAAGTTTTCATTTGCACGAAGTTTTGGAATTGTAGCTTAGGTACAAATCCTGCAGCCTTACATGATTTTGCTACGAGTAGAGATCGGGAAGTTTAACACTCCTGTGCTGTGAGCAATGGTACGAACCACAGCTAACGTACGGTATGGGAAGCGAGGTTATGGGCAAACTGTTACCTGGTAGTCCCATATCTTGACAAGACGGTCGTCGGCCCCTGAAATGAGGTACGGCTTGTCGCCCCCACTGTAGTAGTCAATGCAGTTCACCCCTTTCTCGTGTCCTTCCAGAGTGAAATTTGGTGATGAGGAGCCCAGCTGCCACACCTTAAAAGAACAAAAGCATCTGTCAGTCAGTACTGGGCCTCACCTTTCAAAAGCCAGCTCCACTGTACTTTACTTTCCCGTGATTATACCTTTTTTACAATTTTTTTCATTTTAATGAAAGTTTACAGAGACTTAGGGTTTCCAGTCATTCATTGTTTCGCTCCTCACCCCAAAATTCACTCCTCTCCTTAAAAAGAAAGAAAAACTCTTCATTGTTATGCAATCCTTCCCCCGCCCTGGCCAAGGCCACTCCACTGTGCAGCCTTCACTCTGGACTTCTGTAATGACAAGAATACCCATTCATATGTCCTTTCCACTGTACTTTCATGATGCTAAGTGCCAAAGCCAGGAGGGAGAAGCTGGGGGACATTTCTTATTCCATTTGTTTGCTTTTACGTGGATTACAAGGGGGCGCGGCTGTAGACACTATGGCGTTCTTTGCAAATGTCAATTTCCAGGAGTCACTGCTAGCGATCAGGCTTTGGTTTGATCTAGAGTGATGCTCGCAAAGTTAGATTTTAAAAGACACCCCAAGTCATCACAGGCTACTCTGAGAAACACTTCCTTCAGGGTAGGCATCGTTTGTGAGAGAATAAACACAAGGATCTAGTAAAATGTTTCCAGTGAAAGTTACTGCTTAATTAAACACTGAAAAAGTATGGGACTAGCATGAAAAATTATTCAAGTACAACTATGAAGCTTTCACTTTACAAAGCTTTATGGAGTACCTACTTATCATACCTTCTGTGTGGAAAGGTCTGTAAGGAGCAGGGGGACAGAAAACAAAGGTTTATCCCCACGCAGCTGACAGTTCAGGAAAGAAACACATTGTCAAACATATTAACTACGAGGAACTGCGAAAACAGCTGTAACAGAGGTGAAATACCACAGAAAGTATTACTGGCATGACGTAAGTCCAGAATAAGAGCTGATAATAATGGGGGGTGGGAACGGACTGTATAACAATGAAAGAATATTTTTTTTTTCCAAAGAGAAAAGCAAACTGGGGAGTAGGGAAGGGCAGGGAGGAAAATGTGCAACAATGAATGAAAGGAAATCCAAGTTCTCTATAAACTTCCACTAAAATCTCTATTTTAAAAAAGTTCTCTCTGGAAAGGCTATATAGACTCATTACTGCCAAAGCCCGCGGCACTTAGCCTTAGTATATCAGCGCGTCACAGAAAAGGAAAGACAGGTTTTTTTCCCAGTCAGAACGTGTATGAAGTGGGATAGAGGAGTTTCTAGGGTTTGCATAAACAGTAGGACTTGTACTTTGGTATGCATAAATTGTTAAGATTTTTTTAAATTTTCAAACTGAATATTACAATGATACTTCATTTTGTTCATAAAATGTTAGGAATCATTAAAAAAAAAAAGAAAGAAAAGAAATACAACAGAAAGAATGAGACAAGCACGGTTAGTTCTGCCTAGAAATGAAGTGTGTGCTTCAGGAGAGGGTCTTAGAGTGAACCCTTACTAGGCTTTGGCAACAGTAGTTATCCAGAGGAAGAGGGAATCAAGGGAAATACAAGAGAACTGCAGACAGAAGCAGCGTGAGAAGCCAACAGAAATGTGTAGTGGAAGGCATCACAGAAGTGACGGGTGATCATACTGAGGTGTGGCTGGGGAAGGGTGGCCTTGGCCAGATAGTCTATTGAGCGTGGAATGGGAGGTAGCAGGGAAAGGGCAGAGACAAGTCACGTGTGCCTGGGTTGGCTGGGCAGTGAATGTACTGGTTATTTCTGAAAGGGAAGTGTCTTTCACCTGCTAGGTAAAAATACTTGTCTGTCAGACATTCTCCTAACAGTGAACATCCAAATTAAGACAGACTAGAAAAAGGACTGGCCATCCACTTCTGAAATATATCAGGCCTTTGAAAATCCTTAGTACAGTAGAGCACACTTAGAGTAGACTAACAGATATGGCAACTGAAGGCGAGCCCTCAAATTTGGAAACACAAAGGAGGAGAAACAGTTGTAAGAAGAAATTAACAATTGGTACATGGAATGTTAGAAGCATGAATGGAGGAAAACTGGACATTGTAAAGAAAGAAATGGAACGTGTAAATATTGACATATTAGATATTAGTGAAATGAGATGGACTGGCGTAGCACATTTTGAATCCCACGATCTTATTATCTATTATGCTGGAGATGAAAAGGTGAGAAAAAAACAGGGTCACCTTATAGTTGAAAAAGCCATTTCCGGAGCCATCTTGAAATACAATACTGTGAGTTGACAGGATAATACCCAAACACATACAAGGAAGACCTGTTAATATCACTATCATTCAAATTTATGCACCTACAACTTGAGCCAAAGAGGAGAAAATAGATGATTTCTATCAACTTTTGCAGTCAGAAATCAATTAAACATGTAATCAAGATGCTTTAATAATGGGTGACTGGAATGCAAAAGATGGGAATCAGGAAGAAGGATCAGTAATTGGAAAATATGGACTTGGTGACTGAAAGGAGGCTGGGGACAGAGTGACAGAATTCTGTACAATCAATGATTTATTCATAGCAAATACTATTTATAAGAAACATAAACACAGGCTATACACATGGAATTCACCTGATTACGTCTGTGGAAGGAACTGTTGGAGAAGTTCAATATCAGCAGGAGAAACTAGGCCAGGTGCTGACTGTGGAACAGACCCTCAACTTCTCATATGCAAGTTCAAATTAGAACTACAGAAGGTTAAATCATATCCACAGGAATCAAAATTTGACTTTGCGTCTATAGCCCATTAATTTAAAAACCAATTCAGCTATAGGTTTGAGGCCTTGAACACTAATGAATGAAGACCAGATAAGCTGCGGGAAGATATCATGAATATCATTCATGAAGAATCCAAAAGGCCATTACAAAGACGAAAGAAGAAATGACCAAAATGGATGTCAGAAGAGACTCTGAGTATTGCACTAGAGTGCCGAGAAGCCAAAGCAAGGGGAAGAAATTAAGAAGGTAATGAGCTGAATAGGCGGCCATGTTCTTCCTTGTTGGCTCCCCCCAGGGTCTTGGGAAGTTCTCCTTGCCAGAAGGAGCACGGTGGTATGAGCGCAGCAATCGTGGCAAGCTTTTGGAGTCGAGTGCTTTTCCGGGAATGTGTTTGACGTGCAGGTTCGCTACGAGTCGTCTATGACTCGACGGCACGAAACAACAATAACAACGATGACGACAAAGAGAGAGCTATGTTGGCCTAGTGGAAAGGAAGTTATGCTACCAAGCCAAAGGTGGGTGATTTTCATCTGCGGCCCTCGGCCAGGTTCAAATTGTTTTCCTGTCAAACATTCTTCTAGGTGGTATCGCACTGGTCTGTGTGTTGCTGTACAGAGGTAACTCTTGTGATGCTGAAGACTGTGACAGTGATGTGCCAATCGTGGTAATGGGCACCCATGGTGGACAGTGTTGGCTGGAGCTTGCCGACTAAACCAAGCCTGGAAGCAGGAGCGGCATCCACTTCTGAAATGGCTTGCCTCTGGAAACTATGAACAGTGCTCAGGCTGTTCGTTCATAGGGTCGCTATGAGTCGAGCTCAACTCGAAGGCAATCACAACAACAGCAGACAGAAGAAACAGTTGGAAAAGCTCCATGCCAGGATAACAGGCCAGAATCCCAGATGTCTCTTAATGTTAGCTGAGGCTGTGCTGTTGTCACTGTTACTGTTGTTATGTGCTGTCGAGTCGCTTGCAACTCATAGCGACCCTATGTACAACAGCCCTAAACCCTGCTCTATCCAGTGCCAATCGCACTGCCTCTGAAACACCCATCCTGATTACCCCAGTCACTGAATCAGTCCACCTCACAGAGGGTCTTCCCCTCCTGCGCTGTCCCTCTACTCTACCCAGCATGATGTCCCTCTCCAAGGACCGGTCCCTCCCTACAACATGTCCAAAGTGTTTTAGACAGAGGTGCTGTTAAGTGAGCTGGGAAGTGTAGTGACCCTGTGAGCAGCAGGGCCGATCCTTGCTCTATCCTGCACCATCCTCACCGACTCAGACACGCTCAAGCCCATCATTACAATCACCGTGTCAATCCAGCTTGTTGAGGATCTTCCACTCTCCTTTCACCCTCCCAGCTAATGCCTTTTTCCATAGACTGGTCCCTCCTGAAAACATGCCCCAAGTAGGTAAGATCCAGCGTCATTCTTCTTACCTCGAAGGAGCACCATGACTGCACTCTCTCCAAGACCCACTTGTTAATTCCTCTGGCAATCCTTGTGCTATTCAGGACCCTCTGAACCAATGATTCAAAGTCACTGATTCTTTATTCATTCTTGTTCACTGTCTAACTTTCAGATGCATAGCAAGTAACTGAAGTCTATTATTAAATCTGGTCCACCTTAGTTTTCAAACTGCTATCACCACTCCTTAGCACTCTGGAGAGGGCCTTGACAGCAGATTTTCCTAATACTACATGTCTTTTGATTTCTTGACAGCTGCTACTATGGGATCCAAGTAAAGAAAATAGTTGATAACTTCAGTTTTTATCTACTTATCATGACGTTGCCTGTCCAGTGGTGAGGATTTTTGTTTTCTTATGCTAACATGTAACCAATATTGTAGTCTTTGATCTGTTTAAGCATTTTAAGTCCTTCTCCCTTTCAGCAAGCACGTTTGTGTCATCTGCACCATGCAGGTTGTTAAATCTTTCTCCAATCCTGATGCCACCCACATTCTACTTCATATAACCCAGCTTCCAGAATGATGTGCTCAGCACACAGAGTGAACACGCATGGAGAAGGAATACAACCCTGACACACACCTTTCCTGATTATAAACCAGACACTGACCCTTTGCTCTGTTCAAATAACTGCTTCTTGGTCTACACAGAGGTTTCACATGAGCACAATTAAGTGTTCTGGGATTCAAAATCATCCCAATATTATTCATAATTTGTTATGAGCCACACACCCAAACACCTTTGCATAGTTAATAAAAGGCAAATAAATATCTTTCTGGTATTCTGTTTTTACCCAAGATCTCTCTGAAAACAACAATGATATCGTTTCTTCCATGGCCTATTCTGAATCCAGCTTGAATATCTAGTCAAGCAGTTCCTTGATGAAACGTGCCAAATGGTGTCCCATCAATTCCTGGGACCTGATTTTTTTGCCAATGTCTTCATAGTATCTTGAACTTCTTCCTTCATTACCACCGATTCTTACTCGTATGGTACTTCTTGAAAATGGTTCCATGCCAACCAATTCTTTTCGGAACAATGACTCTTGTGTATTCCTTCCATCTTCTTTTGATGCTTCCTGCATCATCCAAGACTATGCCCACAGAATCCTTCAGTATTGTAGCACGAAGTTCCACTTTGTTGATTTTGTTCTTCAGTTCTTTCCGCTTGAAAAAAATGCCCCGGCATGTTCTCCACTTTTGGTTTTCTAACCCCAGCTCTTGGTACGTTTGTGGTAACACTTTGTTTTGTTTTCTGGAGTGGTCCTTTGGAGATCTTCTATCCATCTCTTTTGGTTTAGCCTACCTTCCCCTTTGTTGGCTTCTCTATGCAATTTCTAGATTTTTCTTCTGACATCTCTTTGTTCTTTTCCTTCTAATCTGTCTTTGTAATAACCTTTTTGCTTTCTTCAGTCTTACAACATCTTTCATATAGAAAGACACTCTTCAGTTAAGGGCCACAGGGTTTTCCTAACAGGACATAATGTTTTAGATCAAAATGAGAAGCTCTATTTTATTTCATAATGGGCTTTTTTTTTTAAAAAAAAAAAAGGTATAATGATGAGCTCTTAAGACATTAGTCCTAAATCAAGAATAACTTTCTGAGCAGGGAAACCAACTCCATTTGGCCCATAATTTTAACTGATAGGGTGAACATCTTACCTTAATTGTCCTGTCCAAAGAAGCACTGGCAAACTGATTATTATCTTTGGGGTTGATCACAATCTGCATGACATAATGGGTATGTCCTTCAAACACTTGGGAGCAAGACCACTTTTTATCCCAGTCCCACAGCTTAATGAGCATGTCGTCTAGGCAAACAAACAAAAAAAGTTCCAAGTAGTTGTGGTTTCTATTTCTTTCACTGCACAACCAAGACACAAAAGTTTTCTGCCTTTTTAGACAGGAAACCTAACAGTATAAATCATACATTCCAAGACGTACAGAAATAAAATGAGAATGGGACAGATTTTTCAAAATCCTTATTTTTCTAAGAATAAAGTTAACACTCCAGAGAGGAGTGAGGATAAAGAAGCCATAAAACTAACAACAAAGGGAGCTCTGGCAGCCTAGTGGCAAGAAGCTGTGCTGCAATCCCAAAGGCATGCGGTTCGAATCCACCAGATGCTCTGCTGAAGAAGGATGGGCAATTTCCTCCTGTGCCAGCTGGATCTGAATTGACGGTACACAACAAGGAAAAAAACAAAACAAAACAAAAAAACCAACCAAACAAACCTAACAACAACATAAAACTATTGTGATTTAAAAAAAACTTATGTGCGATTTAACACAGACTTGATCTGAGTCTAGTTATGACTGGAAAATGGCAATGCCTAGAGAACAATTATTTACTATTATGATAAAAGATTGGTTACTAAAGAAGTTTTTCACTACCTCTCAATGTTTAATTTAAAAATGCTTCAAAGAGCTATTACTAATTCAGTACTACGTGTCTTAATTGGTTTCCAAAAGGTCTACTAATTTATACGTTAATACTAAAGAATACATTAGTCTGACTATAAAGATTAAACTAGCTAGGGTATGGCAATCCATAAAAACTCACTCATCAGCATGTAAATGAGGCCAGTGTTTATTTATCTAGACTTTCAAGTCTCCCCTGGCAGGAATCTGAGCAATTGCTACACAAATCCTCGATACTGTTGATACTTCAAAGGCAAGTAGCACTGATATAGCATGTTAATGGATTAAAAGTTTAAAGGCTGCCTGGAATTAGAACTCTATGTTTAAGAACTGTAAAAAAAAAATAAAAAATAGCTGTCTCACTGAATAGAAATGAATTTTCTGAAGAGAAAGGCATTCCAAAAGGGGGTCATCTCTTACCACTGCTAGTTAAAATGAAAGGCTGGGTGGGATGGACGGCGATACAGCGAATGTAGTCCGAGTGAGCTTCAAACATATGCACTCTCTCCAGGGTATTGTAGTTGAACACTCTAATCTGCATGTCATCCTAGAAATGGGAAATTTTAAAGCCATCATCACTGTTATGAAGTAAATGGCATGAAAACCTCAATATTACAAACTCAAGGAATGAAGTCCATGCTTCAAGAAAGTGTGGCATATAATAAAGAAAAAGAATTCAAATTCTGTAACTCATTTACATAGTTAATTACCAATTCAGAAAATGGGATTACTGAAGCAGAGAATTACTTACCGCGCCTGTCACAACCCAATTCTTTCTTGCAACAAACTTTGCAGCTCGCACAGGAAGGTCACACACTTCAAATGTCTTCACAAGAGTCTTAAAAATTTAAAAAGAAAATAGACCTTTGAGTCATGAGGAAATAACTGTCCTATAGAGCAAAAAAAAATGAATTCTACTATATGAAAACATTATTTAGTCCATTTTGAATTTTAAGATATTCTCACACTAAAATGTGAAAGCTCAACACTAAAAAAAAAATATTAGGAATCAATCAAAACTTAAATACTTAAAAAACTGGCAGATTTTGATTTGTTTCTGCTGTTTAAAATGAAAATCAAAGAAATGACTAAGAAAGAAAAAGCTAAAAAAGAGATCTAATTATTCCATCCACTTCAGCAGTATGCCACCATGTCAATGCCATTGGTTAGTGAGATACGACAACAGTGATTTAAACTTCCCTGGAGCTATGCAAACTAAAATTAGACAGACACATAAATAGAAAAGACAGACAGAGAGAAGCACAGGAGACCCTAGGAAGATCAGCAATGACTACACCTTTTTGTCTTCCCACTTTGATGACTATTCTTTACAATTCTGAACTTGATGTCCAGTCTTATTTTTTTATGTACCACAGCAATGACTAAATAAGTAAGAAACACATGCACAACCTTGCTGATGAACAAAGCATATTTCTGCTTTAAAAAAATGATACAGATATTCTTTCACTTCTCCAGGTCACTTTTTGTTTCCTGTAGTAGTGTTTTGAATTTTTTTTTTTTTTTTAATTTTATTATTTTTGTGTGCGTGTACCGTCAAATCAGATCTGACTGGTACAGGAGGAGATTGCCCCTCCTTCCCCGGCAGAGCATCTGGTGGATTCGAACCGTGTGTCTCTGGGATTGTAGTTGCAGCTCCTTGCCACTAGGCCACCAGAGCTCCCCTTGAATTTTTCTTTGACTAGATCTTTTGTGCTTCTGGTTAGATTTACTCCCAAGTACTTCATCTTGTGATTGATTAGCTGTTGTGAAGGGTATTGTTTTTCTAATCTCCAGTTCTGTGTTCTCTTTGTTACTGTAGAGAAATTCAATTGATTGTTGTAAGTTGATCTTGTATCCTGCCACTTTGCTGAATTGGTCAACTACGTTCAGTAGTTTTCTTGCTGAATCTTTAGGGTTTTCTAAGTATACTATCATATCATCTGCATAGAGAGATAATTTTACCTCCTCTTTGCCAATTCTGACACTTCTTATTTCCTTCTCTTATCCTACTACAATTGCTAAGACTTCCAATACAATATTGAATAGGAGACGTGATATTGGGCATCCTTGCCTAGACCTGGAGAAGTGGAAGAATATCCCTTGCTTATGGATAGGAAGACTCAATATTGTGAAAACAGCAATACTACCAAAGGCAATTTACATGTTCAATGCAATCCCAATACAAATACCAATTCCATTCTTCAACAAGAAGGAAAAGGCAATCTCCAATTTCATTTGGAATGAAAAAGAGGCCCCGAATAAGCAAAACATTCCTTAAAAAGAGAAACAAGGCAGGAGGCATCTCACTCCCTGATTTCAAATCCTACTACACTGCCATGGTGGTCATGACAGTGTGGTACTGGTACAATGACTGACACATAGATCAATGGAATAGGACTGAGAATCCAGAAATCAGCCCATCTCTATGGTCAACTGATTACTGATAAGAAGATTCAATCAGTCAAGTGGGAAAACAACAGCCTTTTTTAACAAATGGTACTGGCAAAATTGGAAAACTATCTGTAGAAAACTCAAGCATGATCCACACCTCACTCCAGACACAAAAACCAACTCAAAGTGGATCGTGGCCCTAGGATTAAAACCAAGGACTATAAGCTTCATTAGAGAAAAGCTTGGAAGAACTCAAGGAGTCCTAATTCACAACATAAAAGTCTTCGAAGCATCCTGAAAAATCTACAACCAGGAGAGGACAAAATAGATGAAAGGGACCTTCTAAGAATCAAATCCCTATGCACATCCAAAAATTTCTCCAACAGGGTAAAAAGGGAAGCCACAGTCGGGGAAAAATATTTGGTAATGACACGTCAAACAGGGGACTTATATTTAGAATTTATAAAATACTCGAGCACCACAACAAGATAAAGGTAAATAACCCAACTGAAAAATGAGCACAGGATATGAACAGACACTCCACCATAGAAGACATTCAGATGGCCAACAAACACACGAAGAAATGTTCTAAATCCCTAGTTCTGAGATGCAAATCAAAACAACTATGAGAAAAAAAAACAACTATGAGAAAAAAAAACAACTATGAGATATCATCTCACCCCAGTAAGAATAGCAAAATTTAACAGAACAGCAAGCAACAAATGCTGGCAAGGTTGTGGAGAAACTGGAACCCTTATTAACTGTTGGTGGGAGTGTAAAATGGTGCAACCACTATGGAAGGCTGTATAGTGCTTTCTCAATAACCGCCACCCAAGCAGATATATGCACACCCATGTTTATTGCTGCTTTGTTCACAACAGCAAAGAGTTGGGAACAACCCAAGTGCCCATCAACAAACGAATGGATAGAGAAGCTGTAGTATATTCACAGAATGGAATACTATGTTGCATTAAAAAACAAGGAACTCATGAAATATTATACAAAATGGGTGACCCTGGAGGTCATTATGCTGAGTGAAGTATCTCAGTCAAAAAGGACAAATATTGATTGCATAGGGCCACTGTTGTAAAACGGGACTGACATCAGTGTTGAAGGAAGACTGAGAAAGATGGGATAAATTATGTATACATTGAAACAGATGAGGGATAGAACTGCTTAAAAGGGATATATGAGTAGGTATTATTATAATGACAGGAGTCCAGAAAGAAGGCTGCATAGTGGAGTGGACTTGCTGGGTAGGGATTGAATAACAATGAAAGACTTTTTCATTTACTTTTCAAAGAGAAGAGTAAGTTGGAGGGGAGGGGTTGGTAGAGAGAAAAGAGGAAAGGAGGGAGGGAAGGAGGGAGGGAGGAAGGAAGGAAGGAAGGAAGGAAGGAAGGAAGGAAGGAAGGAAGGGAGGGAAAACCCAAAGTCTCTGTAAACTTTAATTATAATTCATAAAAAAAAATCCACAAAATGTAAAAAAAAAACAACAAAAACCCTTAAAAAAAACCCCAACAACCCACACAGAATAGGCACACAGAATAGGGACTGGATCACAAGAACTGTTGAACCTACTCTCACCTCCCAGGTCCAACTTCAAAGACCTTTCGGACAGAGACTGAACAAATGGGAACTTGTTATACAGCTGTTACCAGATTAATATGATATGGACATTAATGGCAGACAAGTGTCAGAAACAGCATGCAATGACACAGAAAATGCACAAAAGGCCAACGCAAACCAGCAAACACTGGCATGTGCTGAGCAATGAAAATAAGGCAGATGTAGAAAAAGCAAGCATAGCTTTTAACTCCATGTTTTAACTCCACTGTGGCTATTATAAATGACAAAAGAAATGGTCTCTGCCCCTAGACGCTACACAATCTAAGGGAAAAAAAGGTCCTTCGTTTCTGGCGAGAATCTGGAAAGACGGGGTCATGGTGGGCAGAGTGCACTGGTGATTCATTTTATAAGACACAATAAATGGGAATGATTATATGAAACACATGTGAATGAAGGATAGTATAGAACACAATGTATATCAATTTGGTATGCAAATCAATATAAAATTTTTTTTAAAAAGGAAAAGAAAAAAGACAAAGCTACACTCACACAACATGTAACATCTGATGTAGAAGGAAAACCTTAACATTTGACAAGTATAGTTTCTTCTAATCTGATTTGAAAGCAAGAACTTTCTTTCAAATGAGTAAACTGAGATTCATCACAGTTAAAAGGCTCGTTCTGCTCATTTTATCAACCAGTTGGCCTCAAAGTGTGAAATACATTTCAAAACAAATTTTAAAAAAAAATTTATCACACAACAACAAATATATGTTGTTGTTATGTACCGTCCAATCATAGCTTGGATTCGACGTGTCAGAACCAACTCCTGGCTGACCGTCCGGTGGGTCTCCAGAAGCAGTAAATGGCCCAGGAGACTGCCCGTCCTTCTCCCGTGGAGCCGCTGGTGGATTCAGGCTGCGTGCCTTCAGGTTGACAGCGCAGCGATTTACCACTAGGCCATCAGAGTGTCCTCTGGTATTTGGAGATACATCATATCCCCTCAGTTCAAATACAAATATTTTTTTGTTTCTTTCTAAGCAGTCAGAGAGAACAAGATCCACCTATAATCTCTGCCCTCACAGAACCTGAAATCTCAAAGGTAAGAGGGAAATTGTCAAAATGATAGGCAGATGTGAAATGGGAGTGCAATGAGCATTCAAAAGAAAAGAGGGAGGCAAGCCGAGAGCAGGGCCCAGATAAAGCAGAGGTCTACTATGATGAAGCCTAGGGGAATCAAGGGAAGTACACCCGGGAGTCAGAACACACCACAGTGACAAGAAATGAGTAAATGGACTTGACAGAGACCATGGAAAGAACGTGCGGAGGAGGAAAAGACATCAAGACTTCTGAACATATACAACCAGAAAAAGTCTAAACATACGGATGGAGAAAAGTGTTCCCACAACCACAAAAACAAACCAGTAAAATGCCAATTATCTGCACCAAGGAGTTCACAAATTATAAATCTGAAAACACAGAAGACAGAAATCTTGACATGTCCACTGATACAGAGAATGCTTATTAATTATCAATTCAACAAGTAATTATTGAGCATGTACTAAGTGCCAGGTGCGACTGTAAACACTGGAGATCTAATGGTGAACAAAATGCTTGTTGTTGTTGTTGTTATGTGCTGTCGAGTCGCTTGCAACTCATAGCGACCCTATGTACAAGAGCCCTAAACCCTGCTCTATCCTGTGCCAACCTCACTATCTCTGACACACTCACTCCCACCATCCCAATCAAAATGCGTACAAGTGAAAAGTGGCAATGAGGAGGTCCTGATTGACACAGCGTTCGGGTCCTGATTGACCTCAGCGTACTTAGTTCCAGTCAATATAGCGTTCCATTTGAGGGGCTCTCTGAATATGAAGATGCAATTAGATTTATTCAACTCTTGACTCGTATCCTAATCCTATTTCCTAGCTTATATCTCTCACATCTGGATTTTAGTGACTTGAAGAATGAGCTTCAGCTACAGTTTTTGTTTCATATGAATTTGGAATATTTTTAAAGATTCCGTCTGGCATCTAATCAGACTTCAACTAAACCTATCTTAATCTAATTGTAGATTTTTCCATTGCAATACGTCTCCTAATTTCCTTACTGCTGGTACCAAGGGGGTGGACTGTGGATCCAAGAAAGATGAAGTTATTTGAGAAATTAGTTTATCTACTCACGTCTGACATATTATTTCTCCTTTTTTATTATAAACAACCTAATGTAGTATTTCTGATGGTCCTTAAGAAGTTCTTACCTGTGTTTCATGATTCCAAACACACACACTGCCATTGTAGAGACTCGCCAGCATCCATGGTTCTGTAGGATGCAAATCCACACTCTTTACTCGATCAGATCGAGCAGTTAGCTTTCTCTTGATGTCAAGTCGTAGAGGCTAAGGAGAAACAAAGAAACCCAAAATATGAAACTGCTAAATTGAATGAATGCATTTGAATACAAAAAACAGGACATTAACAGGTCTGTTTACTATTCCATTTGTGCTTTGCTAAGTTTTTTTTGAAGCATGGAAAACTATATTATATATTATACAGTAGGACAAACCTTTGACTAACTGACATCAGATAAAAACCAAACCTGTTTCAATGTACAAATCCAACTTAATCACACAGTGAGGAATAATCTTTTCTATAATCCTCAAGCTGTCTATATCTCTAAGCCATAACATTAAATTGAGTTCTTCAAAGAAAAGTAGCAGGCTGACTTTGACAAAAATATTAGTAGATAAAAGGCAATGAGATAGATGATCAATAAAGACTGTAATCAAAAAGGCCTTTGAACACAAGTAGGAATCTTTGTAATATTGTAATTGTTATTGTTAATGTGCCATCAAGTAACCTGCACTTCATAGCGACCCTATGTACAAGAGCCCTAAACCCTGCTCTGTCCTGTGCCAATCGCACTGTCACCAACACACCTATTCTCATTACCCCAGTCACTGAATCGATCTATTTCATCGAGGGTCTTCCTCTCCTGTGCTGTCCCTCCACCCTCCCAAGCATGATGTCCCTCTCCAAGGACTGATCCCTCCTTGTAATATGCCCAAAATATGTCAGATGAAGCTCCAGAATCCTTGCCTCCAAGGAGCAGCCCGGGTCAGCTATGGGTCAGTACTGACTCGACAGTACACAACAAAATTATTAAATGAGTTGGCTGGAGGCATATTCAAGTTAGATTTCAGTCTGTTTCCCAATGGAGCATCTAGGCTCAATGAGGGCTATAATCAGTTTGGGGTTTGGTGGCAGTGGGAGGACTATCTTCCAATCTGATGTGAACGCCTGTGGAAAGCAATGTTCTTAATACTGCATTTAATCTTGTAACACTCACTCACTCAGTGCCACTGAGGTGAAACTGATTCAGAGCTGACTCTCCCAGAGGTTTTCAGAGGCTTTAAGTCACACTGAGGGAGATCACCCCTCTTCCTCAGAGCAGCTGGTGGGCCTCTGGGCTGACAATGCAGCTCCACTAGACCACCAGAGCTCCCTCTCATAACCCTAACAACGGGGTTTTTGGTATCTTCAATCAAAGCTTTCTTCCAGCTTCCCATGCTTAGGAGGAAATGTTTGGGTTTTTTTGTTTGTTTGTTTTGGTTTTGGGGGTTTTTTTGGTTGTTGTTGTTTTTTTTTTGGTCTAGAGACTTTATTATGGGGGGCGGGCGGGGGGTTGTTGGTTAGAACCAGCTCTGATTCTGTGTTTTCAGATGGGTCTGCTGCCCCAAGGCCAGGCCAAGAAGCTGTGCCTGGGATGTTGGCTTCTGGTGGGCTGCAGGGCTTCCCCATCACCCTTGCCAGGTGGCCTGGGCTCCTGGCATGCTTAGAGGAACAGGTGCTGGGGATGGGCATTTGGGCTGGGCTGCCTCCCAGGGTAAATGAAGTCGAACCAAGAGGTCCTAAAGGAGAGGGTGTGAGAAAGAGTCAAGACCCAGGCTGACACTTGGAGGGCACCACCCTCACTGCATAGCCTGTTCATTGGCGCTGCTTCCTGAATCCTGTGGTTTCAACACGTCCGGCAGCTCCGGTGGGCTGGAGAATGGTTCAATGCGGAGGGCCTCAAATGTGTCATCTGACCGGAAGGCCAGCCCCACTGTGGCCGGAGCCTGGGGTCTTGCTGTTTGACTGGTGAAGCCGCACTCGCCCAGAGTCTTGGCATCCTCTAGGAGCTGGTCGTCCTTATACAGATGCTGCTCGTCTGGTGGCCGCTTAAGGATGCCCTCGACGATGCGCTTCAGCTCATACACGGTACTCGACTCCTTGGCATCAGTGAAGATGGTGGTTTTGTGGCGCCGAATCATCAGAAACACGTCCATCGCGGCAGCTGCCTCTGCCCTCGACGCACCGGGGCCAGGAGGAAATGTTTGAAGCAGGCTGAGAACCCGAACAATTCACTCTGACTGAGCTTCAAAGTTCTTGTTACATTTGATGCCTCATTCTGCCAACAGTTTTCGGGTCATTTTTCATAATTACCACTATCTTTCTCTTTTCTGATCTGTTACTATACCACCAAGAATCACGTTAACTACTTCCCTAAAGCAATCACAAACTCTATCTGAGGTCACTTTAAACATTCCCCTACTTCAAGTCTATCTTCCCACTATTTAACCAACCTCTCTCATAAACCAGAGGGCTCTTCTAAAAGCCCTTTAATCTCCCTTTGACAAACACTCTAAAAAGTTTGTCATTAATCACAAAGGAGATTAATCCGAACTGGCTTTGACAAGCACTGTGGCAATTGGACAATTAATACAGACTTTCAAGGGGAAAAAAAAAAGAGGACCTAACTAGAGGGGAGGATAGAGAAAATAGTGCAACAATGAATGAATGGAAACCCAAAATCTCTGTAAATGTTCATTAAAATTAATAAAAGTTAATAAAAAAATTTTTAAAAAAAGAATAGGTTTGAGGGGAGCTCTGGTGGCCTAGTGGCAAGAAGTTGTACTACAATCCCCGAAACGAGAGGTTCGAATCCACCAGATGCTCTGCTGGAGAAGGAGGGGCAATCTCCTCCTGTACTGGTCAGTACACACACAAAAATATTAAAAAAAAAAAAAAAGGTTTGAGTAATTGAACATTAATGACTGAAGACAAGATGAGTTATGGGATGGAATCAAAGATATCATCCATGAAAGAAAAAGTTGTGATACAGAAGAGGAAGGAAAGAACAAAAGAGATGTCAGAAGAGACCTTGAAAATTTTGTTAGAGTATAAAGAAGCCAAAACAAAGGGAAGAGATGCTGACGAAAAAAGAGCTGAACAGAGGATTTCTAAGCTTAGCTTAAGAAGACAAAGCAAAGGTGGGATATGCAGAGAGCTGGAGTGGGAGCAAAAAAGTGAAGAACTCATTTTGTGTTTCTTAAACTTAAAGAACTGGGGGGAAAAAACTCAAAGAACTGAAAAGGAAATTCAAGGCTTGAGTTGCAATACTGAAAAATGCTATGGGCAAAATCCTGAATGATTCTGGAAGCATCAAAAGAAGGTTGCATAGTGGAGTGTACTTGGGGGGGGGAGGGGAATTGTATCCAATGAAAGAATTTTTCTTTTACTTTTCAAAGAGAGGAATGAACTGGAGGGGGAGGGCTGGGCAGGGAGAAAAGTGCAACAATGAATGAATGGAAATCCAAAATCTCTGTAAATATTCATTAAAATTAATAAAAAAAAAAGTTTAAAAAGACACCCCTCAAAAAAAGATGGAGAGAATACACAGAATTACAGTCTCAAAAAGAATTAGCTAACACTGAAGTATTTAAAGTACCATATGATCAAGAACCAATGGTAATAGAGGAAAAAATTCAAGCTGCACTGAAAGCACTGGCAAAAATAAAGTCCCAGCTTTGTCTCATATACTTTGGGCAAGTTATTAGGAGGGGCTATTCCTTGGAAAGGGATATCATGCTTGGATAGGTAAAGGAAGTCTATGGAGGGAAGCCTCATCATCTTTGCCTCCAAAGAAAACTCTTACTGCACCTTCTCTGAGATATATTTGTTTGTTCTTTTGGCCTTCCATGGGATGTTTCAGTGCTCTTCTCCAACCACAGCTGAAAGGCATCAATTCTTTCTGTCATCCTTGTTCATCATCTAACTTTCAGATGCATAGCAAGTCACTGGAAAAAATCACAGCTGAATCATATGCACCGTAGTTCTCAAAGTGATATCATTACTCTGCAATAATTTGGAGAGGAAAAACTGGATAAATTATGTATATTACATTGAAACAGATGAAGGAGAGAAGAGTTTAAAAGCGATATATGACAGGGTATTATGGTTATCACAAGAGTCCAGAATTGAGGTTGCATAGTGGAGTGTACTTGGGGTGGGGGATGGGAGGATTGTATACCAATGAAGGAATTTTTCTTTTACTTTTCAAAGAGAAGAGTGAAGGGGGGAGGCAGGGAGAAAAGTGCAACAATGAATGAATGAAAATCCAAAATCTCTGTAAATGTTCATTAAAATTAATAAAATAAAATTTTTTAAAAAGTTTGTCATTAATCAAATGAAAATCAAACCCTTCTCCATAATATTCAAAGCTCTAGAAAATCCATTTCCTAATTATCATTCTAGATTTGTCTCCCTTGATTGTCTATAAATGAACTCAAATGCTAATCAAACACAACTACTCACTAGTCTCTGTTCTCTAAATATGCCGGAATATTCCTTTCTCTACACTCTACTGTCATTTTTCTACAAACAAAATAACATGATACAATGTAGCAACGTACAAGAAGGGAAGTATCTGTGTTACTTGGGAAGGGTGGTGGGCAGGTGCATTAGAAAAGGTTTCTGGCTTTGCTATATCCTCAATCCTAAAGGTCTCCTTTCGTTTTTATCTTCCAAAAGTTGTACCTTTATCTGTTGGTCAAGGCTACCGAGTCAGAACCAATTCTTAACTCTCTCAAAGTTTTCAGAGACTGTAATCACACTAGAGGAAAGTATACTTCTTACTCCCTTCTAAACCGCTGGTAATCCAAACCACATGCCTAGGAGTTAGCAGTGTATCTCCTTACCCACTAGACCACCAGAGCCCCCTATACACATCTAATTTGGCTTAATGAGACCTTTCCAATGACCTGAGCCAAAAATACCCTTCTCTCCCCTATGGAATTACACTCATTCATGGTTCATTTGCATATACTGTGCATATAAAATAAGTACTTCTTGAAGGCAAGGCCATCGCTTACATGTCTACCTGTAGAGCACCTTATATACTAGAGTTGAGGGAGGAAAATGGGCAGTGTAACTTGGATCTATAAAGTCATGCTGTGTAAACTCAAATTTCAGTTTTACAACTCATTTTAGGTATGCAGTAGTGGGCAAGTTTACTCTGTGATTCTCTCAGGTTCTAATACATGAAACAAGACAAGAAAGATTATCTACTGCT